CTCATGGGTGTAATTGTGAGCATTGAAAGAGATAATTCAGGTTGAAAGCACACAGAACAGAGTCTGGCACGTAGTAAGTGTTCAATAAATGTTAGCTTTTATTATTTGTGTTGAGACATAAGCCATCTACCCAAGCAGCCTTTATGGAACATATGCTAAACTAAGCATGGTGTTAGAGGGCTGAAGATCAAAAGATGACCAAGGCAACAGTCCCCACCTTCCAGGAGCTCAGAGAGGAAACAGATTGCAAATCGACTCTGTGAACGAGTACAGAAAAACAGAGGAATGAACAAGGTACGGAGATGGCTCAGAGGAGGGTCAACTCTGGTCAACTCTGCTTGGAGATGGGGTGGGTGTGGGGAACTAGAGAGGGTATGAGGGAAGAGAAGGCACTTGAACTAGGTCTCAAAAACAGGTAGAGAAGTCAAGAAGAGTTGACACCAATCTATGGTTCTAGCATTCAGACTAGTGGTCGCCTCTGTTTGTGAGGGGAGAGTTATTGGCTGGAAGGGGCATGAGGGAAGTTTCTCGAGGGATGGAAGTATTCTTGATTGGGTATGGGTTACATGGGTATATGCATTTGTCAAAACACATCAAACCGAACACATAAGATCTATGCATTTTATCATACATAAATTATATCTCTATATATAAAAATAAAATTAGCTCATTAAAAACATTTTTGAAATGAATAGTGCAGGGAGGGGAGGCACCTTCAAGCTGAGAGAATCACATACTCAGGGGTTTGTGGGTACAGGGTGGTGTGGTGCCCATGGCCCTGCCAGCTGCTGAGCTTGGTGGGTGGTACAGGACGTGAGAGCAGGTGGTGAGAGCCTGAAATGTCATCCAGAGGAGTCCAGACATCATCCTCCAAGCCTGAGGGAAGGGAGGGAATAGGAGAAGAAACCAGAGAGGACTAAAATAGCTGGGAAGTGAGCTGCCCCTGGTGCCCTAAAGGGTAATCAGAGAAAACAGTCACTTCCTACACCCAGGCTGAACTCAGTCAACTTCTGCCCAGAAGGGGAGGGTGTCCAAAGTTTTCATCATAACCCAGCAGGGAAATGTGCCCAGGGACTGCCTATTTCACTTCTGCTGGAGGTGAGCACTGTCCCCTCATCTAGCTGCCTCAAGGATACATGTTACCCTTACTGATTCTATGCTCCTAAACCTGTATATCCCACAGACCTAAGTGCCTCCGCCAGTATTTAAGGAATTCTTAAATCTTTCTGCACCTTGCTGTACTCCCACACTACAATAGACTTTTTCCAGCTGTTTCTTCCACTTGAAGCATGCTCCCTCCGACCTGTCCTGCGTCTAAACCTCACCGTCTGCCATGGCTGCTAAACCCCCCTCACTACTTTTTCAGTGCTGCCAACTCTCTGATCAGCCCCCTCCCTCCACATCTGTTTCAGTGACAGATACCAGTTTCCTATCACTTTCCCCCGGCCCCACTAAGTAGTTTCCTCAGTTATATTCCAAGGTCCTTTAAGCCAGGGAAGAGCCTTAAAAACTGTTTCCCCACTAACCTGGAAATATAGTACATCCTTAATAAATATTTATCGGCAGATCGATGATTGAATTTGGAGGATCCAGACCGCTGTGGAGATCCTCTGTGCTGAATCAGAAATTAAGGAAGTGTTTTTGTTTCCCCTAACCATTTCCAGTAGGTGAAGATCCCATCCCTCTGCTTCCGTGGAAAGGGTGGGGCTGGAGTCAGAGGGGCTGAGGGGGATGGAAGGCAATGTGGCTGGGATACTAGGACATTTAATCCTGACCCAGCTTTGCTCAGATTACTGACCCCAGATGACCCATGCCACAGAACTATGTCCACACCCTCCATTAAAGAGATTGCAGCTGCTCTGGGAGTGCTGGACAAAAACAAGGTCAGGTTTTGTCAAAGCCAGTGCAATTCACAAATGAGCTCAACTTGCTGGATTTACAGCAACTGTCTAGTCACCCTGCACTACTGAAATTGTAGATACGAGTTGACCTGCTGGGAAGAGAATCTGGGATAAACTGCGGACTTCAAAAAGTTTCTGCCTGGAAACTGAAGAGGTAACCATGGCAACTGGGAGGCAGGTTGAACTCAGAGAAGGCTCTTCAGACTGAGCAGGGAGCTCTGTGCTCTTAGGTTTGCCATCTGCGCAAGGCGCATCCACCCCTTTGTCTCTTTTGCTTTCCTGGTAGAATAGGAGGAAGTACTAGCTCAAGAACTGGGAGATGGGGCCCAGGCTTCAGCAGTTTTCAGTTCCAGCACACGTAACTACAGGTGCCTTAGTCACTGCTATTGTGTTGTCTGCAAGATGGAAAATGGCAAAAGTGGCCCATTCACAGGGATGCAGAAAAGATGGGAAAGTTCGAGGAGATTCTCCGCATAATCACTATTATTGTGTCATGCGGCATGTCTGGGCTGATAGGAACATGGTGCTACTGAGGACAAGACTATGAGTTTGATCCGTCTATAAACTCGATTTGATCACATGGAGAAAAGCTGTCTCACAGACAGCACCCATATCCCCACCTGGCTGCTGCATAGTAAAAGTGTGCCTGGGGCCTGAGCAGCAGCAGGTCAAACAACCACCCTCACCTGGGCTGACCGACTCCTCTAGCAGAACGTCCTGCTGGTGGGGCTGGGGTGGGCTGCTTCAGAGTGGATGAAGGACTCTCCTGAGAAACATAGATGTTCAAAAGACATCCTTCCCTTGCCTGGGTGGACACAAATGCCTCACGCCCACCCAGCCCTAGACTTGTGAGAAAGAGCCCTGGATGGCAAGATGGGGTGACGGTGGGAGGCTGGCATCTGAGATGGTTCTGCAATGTGAGGAGCTGCTGCTGCACCTGCCTCTGTCTTCCACTAACCAACAGGGAGGTTTGGGAAGGGTTACTACACTGGCTCTTCAGATTATATATGTTTTGACTAACTGGGTCATCTGTCGCAGGCCCTGGTTTAACAAGGGAATCTGCTTTCACAAATGACCCTGCACTGTGTTCTGACTTTGACCTCTGTTGCTCCAGCAGTCTTAGCCGCTGTCTCACAGTGGAGGGGGGGTCGCCTCCTCCTCTCCCCGCTCTGTGGTTTTCCCCTTTCTTTCCGTTACTGCCTGTTCTCATTCTTCTCACTGAGCTTTCTCAGATGGGGAGCCTTTTCTCCTCACTTTGTTTCTCTTTTTTCTGACCCTTTACTTGCAGGAAATTAGGGCAGGACTTTCTGCGGAACAGCTGCTCATAGATGCCTCTTATGAAATAAAACCCCACATTCCAAGAGGCCCAGATAATTCACTTTTTCTTTATTGTCTAGCAATCCTAGTATTCCTATTTAGTAAAACTGAAAGCTAAGATTTATGGAGTGCTAACTATGCACTGAGCAGTGTTCTAAGCACCCTACATGATGTTGTGCAGGCTACGGCATGCTACCCAGATCCCCTCTTAGTACTGTGGCTGTCATCCCCTATCATGTTGTCTGCTGTAGGTTCTCTGCAGGAGCTGCTCTCTCTCGACAGAGAGCTGCCCTATTTAAGATTAGACCATCTTCTCCAGGCAGCTGCATCCGAAGAATGGTTGACGTGGGGAAACAAAGGCCCTCTCCCTTGCTTCAACGGTAGACAGTTCCAAAGCAGTACCTGAGCTCCAGAACATCCCCAGCGACCCGCTGGGGTCCCTGTTGAAGTGGCATGGCATTCAGCTTCTCCCTCTGCCATACCCTGCTCCCTTCACTCCCTCTCAGTTCTAAGAACTGGCCTCAGTAAACCTCCTGCATGCAAGTCTCTGTCTCTTGGAGTCTGTTTCCTGGGGAACTCAAACTAAGAATTAACTTTAGTCGTCACAACAACCTTAGGAAACAAGTGTATTGGTGTTCTCGTTTTAGAGACAGGAAATGCAGACATGGTAAAGTTAAGAAGTGTGCCCAAGGTCTCCCATCAGTAACTGGTAGAGACATGATATGAAATCTGAAAATCTAGCTCTGGACCCTGTACTCTTAACAGCAATTCCAAAGGGAACCGAGGGGCAATGGGGCTGGGTATAAATGCCTTTATGGGCAAGCAGAGGAGAGAGGCAGAGCATGTATTATTTCACATGGGAGACAGCACCACTCAGCTAACAACGGCTTAAACCCAGGATCATTTCACCAGCTGCAGAGTCAGTGTGATTCTAACTTTTTTTTTTCTTTTTTGGCCGTGTAAAAGCATGGTAAATTCATACTTGAATTCCGGCGCCAACACTTACTGTGTAACTTTGAGCAAGTTATTTAAGCTCTCTGAGTTTTAGTAAAAGTGTCTGGAACACAGTAGGAGTTCAATACAGCCACCAGCCCCTCCTCCCAGTTTCTCTGCTACTTCCAACTCTGATCTTGGGTAAGTCTCTTTAGCCTTCTATCCTCAGTTTCCTCATCTATAAAGTGGGACTGAGGATGAGGATGATGAACAGCTGACGCAGCCCCGTGGCCATGGGGGTAGGAGCACCGTTAGTCGTCGTTAACGGTATAATCATGATGCTGACCCAGCGTGCACAGACTTTCCTGTAACAGACGCTGTGCGTGCCTCCCCGACCCACCAGCCCCCCACAAACGCTCCTGACACCGCTGCGCTGGTTTCCTGCTTTTACTAGAAGTCGGCGGCCTTTTTTTTTTTTTTCCCGTTAAACTAGGTACGCGCTTCTCACCCTCGTGCCATCTCCCTGCCGCTCTGCCCTGCGCACGCCGCCGTCCGTCGGGAGGAGGGTGCAGCCGCGTGTGTCCCCGCGCGTGCAAGCCGCGCCCCGCCCCGTCGGGCTCCCGGGCCCCGCCTCTTCCCGCGCGGCGCCCAGCCCCGCTCTCCGATTGGTCAGGGGCGCACGGCCCCGCCCGCCCCCTCCGAGGGGATAAAAGCCGAGGCAGCGCCGGCCGGGCGCACGCAGGCTGAGCTTCCCGGCCCGCACGCCGCTCCCCCGCCTCGTCCCTCTCGCAGAGCTCCCTGGAGCCCTCCGCCATCCTCTCCACGACGTGTTGCCCCGCGCCTGCAGCCATGTGTAGGACCCTGACTGCCTTCCCCACCACCTGCCTGGAGAGGTAAGAGGAGCTTGCGCACCTGTCCGGAGGAAGAAGTCTAAGTTCCACCAACTCTTAGCGACTGGAGCAGCAGCCTGGGGACCTGGGGGGCTGGGGACATGGGAGTGGAGAGGCAGAGGCTGGCTTGATGCCACGTGCTCAGGTGCCAGGAGTAGGGAGAAGGAAAGGTGAAGGAAAGCGGAGGGCTGGCTGCTTGCTGCCTTTCCCATCTTCTGACAAAGGGCAGTCCTTCTCAGGACTGCCGAAGACCCTGCTGCAGGAATGCAGGAAGACCACGTTGGCATCTCGCGCAGAGCTGAGTCTGCCCCAGTTACTTAAGCATTTGGTTTTCATTGCACAGCCCACAGCTAGGGTCGTGTCCTCCTCAGCCGTTGGGAAGGCAGGGAGATGTTTTTCGGGTTCTACCCAGAGGAATGTGTCTGCCAACTTCCCAGGGAACGACTCAACAGCTCTCAGTCCTTACAGGACCTGTGGCTGGGAAAGAAAAGGTAAAGATGAAGATAGGAATCAGCTTTCACACAGTTCCAGAAATACTCCTGACAAGCTTAGGGGATGCTGAACCGTGTCCTGCTAATCAACAGGCACAGAGATAGATCAGTGTGACTTAGGCAGGAAAAAGTCTGTATGTGCAGAGCTGTAAACCCAGAAAGCGTAGGACCTCCCGTGGCACAGCTCAAACGTTGCTTTTGTTGCTTGGGGGTTGATACTCATGAGAGAAGCACAGTTTGGGCCTTGGGAACAGCCAAGGGTTTCCAGCAACTCTGGAGGCTAAACTTTGGGTGGCACCAGCCAGAGTACTTCTGGGACCCCATAAACCTCTCCACACTGGCTGAGCAAATGGAGAGTCCTTTCATGATCCTGACTTGTCTTTCAGAGCCAAAGAGTTCAAGACACGCCTGGGGATCTTTCTTCACAAGTCAGAGCTGGGCTCTGATACTGGAAGTGTTGCTAAGTTTGAGTGGGGCAGCAAACACAGCAAAGAGCGGTAAGTCTTGCTGACCAGCTCAGGTCCCTAGAGGGGAGGGAGCTTCCAATCCCTTTTCCACTTAGGAAAGGAGTTGTGAGAAGGGTAATACAAGGGGAAACTAGGACATACTAGGTTGAACCTTGGCAACCCCTTCCCAGAGATTTCAGTGGGACTTGTTGCTGGTCTGCTATGGCTTCATGGCTAATGGGTGAGTGGGTGGGTGGCTCTGGGGTTCTACGTCCACCAACAGATGACTGCACCCAGGGCATGAATGTCTAGTTACCAGACTTCTTCGATCTGAGGATATCATTGAACATGCAGCCAGGGCAAGCACAGGGTCCAAGACCACCTGAAGTTTTTATTAATAACTCTACTTCTGTTAGCATGCAGCTTGCCTAGAAGCCCTCTCATATTGAGCGTCCACTGTGCCAGGTGCTACTACTAGGCTCTGGGGTTATGGGTAGATGTAATCTCTATTTATGAGGCCCTTATTCTTTGCGGAGGTATACAAAACAAAGCTCTGACAGTCAGTGGAAGGGAAGGGATTTTGGACAGAGAAAAGACAGCCTTAGAGATGTTGACTGAAGACTAAAGGGTCTCTGGCTTCCGCTTCTGGTTGCTGAATTGTCCTCTAAAAAACACCACTGCTTACCTTAACTCCAACTAAGAGCTTGTAGAGTCAGCTTCAGTAATCACCAAGCAAGCCTTTGTGTGAATTATGTACCTTCTCATCAGAATTCTGGTTAGGATTTGTGCTATGCTTTGGTTTGTTGATTTAAAAAATATATATTTTTAAATCTTGGCTTTTTCTTTTTAGTAGAAACTTCTCAGAAGATGTGCTGGGGTGGAGAGAGTCGTTTGACTTGCTTCTGAGCAGTAAAAGTGAGTAGGACCCTGTTGTGTCTGTCTGTGTATGGCACATGTATACTCATGTGCTTTGGAGCCAGTTCAAGTGATGCTGAAAGCCGAGGCAAAATAATGGTAGTAGGAATAATAATAATGATTCCTCAGTGTGCCAGCCTCTATTCAGAGTACAAAGGCAGGTCCTTGTTCAAGAAAATGACATCCTAAAAATAGAGCCATTAACTGCAATTGCTGTCTTTTCTTCTTTTATTCCCACTGTTCCCCATTCTGACCTGTCTCCTCCTCTCTCCCTCAACCTCAGATGGAGTGGCCGCCTTCCATGCTTTCCTGAAGACAGAGTTCAGCGAGGAGAATCTGGAGTTCTGGCTGGCCTGTGAAGAGTTCAAGAAGATTCGATCGGCTACCAAGCTGGCCTCCAGGGCTCACCGGATCTTTGAGGAGTTCATTTGCAACGAAGCCCCCAAAGAGGTCAGAGCCTCAACATGTTCAATGACTCCTCCAGACCCGGCCTGTTTCTTTCCTACTGAGAATTAGAGTCGGGGAGGCCAGCAGGTGAAGGATTGGGTTTAGAAGCAGAGTGGCCTTACTTGGCACAGGGATGAGTGGGCTTCTGTGGCCAGAAGTTAGGAAAACCAGTCTCTGTGCTACCCCTGGGAGCTGTTACCCTTAGACTCACAATAGGGCAGGATGGGTTGGCAGGGTTTTGGCTTCTGTCCATATGCACTTTTATAAACCAATCCCTTTTTAGAGGCTCAACACACCTACCAACTGGGGAGACAAGGTCATCATAGGGACCTCATGTAACCTGGCTCAGTCTCCTGGCTGAGCTGCCTCAGGCCTGTAGGTCTGTGGTCCCTGGATGATTTTGCAAGTCAGCCTTCCCTTCTGGCTGCCTCTGCCTGGCAGCCACATTTGATAAAGAACATGGGGCCACCTGGTGGACAGATAGGAGTAATGCCTTGCCTTGTATCATTTTTTATTTTGTTTTCTGACCACTTTGGTTTATTCCACGTTATTCCATAAATATTTATTTATGGAACTGATTACAGTCAAGGCACTGTTATAGTCATGGGGGATATAGCAGAAACAAAACAAAGTCCCTGCCCTAGTGGAACTGTTGTTCTAACAGGAGCAGATGCCAATAACTAATTAAACACTTATATGCCAGGTGAGGATATATGCTCTGATAAAAAGTAAGACAGAAAATGAGATATAGGGAGGACCAGAGGTATGGAGTGGGAGGAGGTGGGGTCTCTCCATTTCATAAAGGGAAGCCAGGAGTGGTCTGTTGATAAGGTGACATATAAGCAGAGAGATGAAAGACTTGAGGGAACAAAGAACATCCTAACACAGGAACCAGCAAGTGCAAAGGCCAGAGAGTGCCTGTTGTAGACACAGAACAGCAAGTGGGCCCGTGTGGAGCAGGGAGAGAGGGTAGGGGATGAGGTCAGGCAGGTGGCAGATGGCCAGATATGAACCCTGGGGGCCCGGCAAGCAGTTTAGCTTTTGCTCTGAGTGACATGGGAAGACAAAAGGAGTGCTACCAAACTGATTTTTTTTTTAAATTAATGAGAAATTTATGGCTTCAGAAAACAATTATAGGAGCTGATAAAAACACATTTGGTAGCAACAGCAATGCCAAGTTGAATTGCTTTCAAGAAGAATCATGGATATTGATGCCATAGCCACCACTAGCCACGTTTGACAGCAGCTTGTAAATTCTTCGGTCTTTCTCTGAGCCAGCACCTCAGGTGATTTGGATGGGAGATTTCAGTCCTTGGAAATGTTTATGATACAGTGCTAAGTGAAAAAAAGCAAACTTGAAAACTATTTATGGTGCATTCCCAATATGGTGAAAAACCCTGCTTTGTATATGTATTTCGTCCTGCTGACTTGGGTTTTACAAGGCTCACTAGCTGCTGGTGGAGGACAGGCTGTGGGGGTGAGGGTGGAGGAGAGAGACCACTGAGGGGACTCTGGCACGAATCCAGGAGAGAGATGCCAATGACCTGAGGCAGGGCTGTTACAGAAGAAGGGGTGAAAAGACGCTGAATTTGTACACCTTTCTAATATATCCTCATACTGATCCTGAGAGGTTGGAGGACAGACACTGGATCAGATGTGGGGACAGGCCCAGAGCTGAAAAGCTAGTTAATGATTGATTCGGGAGACTCCAGGTTCTTGATTCAGAATCTGGTGCTCTTTCCTGGGTCCCCCTCAGCCCGCTGAACCCCTTGCCTTGTCCACCCTCCCGCCCCCACTTATCCTGTGCTTGTCCTCCTGCGCACAGGTGAACATAGACCACGAGACCCGGGAGCTGACGAGGACGAACCTGCAGGCTGCCACGGCCACGTGCTTTGACGCGGCTCAGGGCAAGACTCGCATCCTGATGGAGAAGGACTCCTATCCACGCTTCCTGAAGTCGCCCACCTACCGGGACCTGGCTGCCCAAGCCTCGGCTGCCTCTGCCTCTCTGTCCAGCTGCAGCCCGGCCGAGCCCTCGCGCACCTGAGCCTCCGTGGCAGGGAGGAAGCCAGCCGGGAAGAGAGGTGGAGTCACCCGTCCCCGTGTGGGAGGCAGGTTCTGCAGAGCAAGATCGAGAGGATGGTGAAGGAAAGAGCAGATCCAGCAGCCTTTTGCGAACAGCACCCTCTCCTTCAGATACTGTGGGACTTGAATCTGTGCATGAGAGTGTTCCCACTTCCAGGTCCTGAGGATAAGGGCTGGCTATGGGGATCACATGGGGCTTCTGGGGAAAAGAACGGAGGCTCAGGAATTAGCACTGGCTCTGGTCCTTCTCAGTGGGGCAAGGGGATATCCAGGTGTGGTTTAGGAAACATGGATAAAGAGAAACTTGGAAACAAAAGGGGGAAAGACCACCAAGATGAGCTGTCAGTTGACTCTAGCTTCCTGTTTTCCTAATTTCCAGCATGTTCTGGGCACAGAGGGAGCCATGGGTGTGGAGTCCTCCTGTTCTGCCCTCCTCACCTGCCTCGGGGCTCCCTCGGGCTCCCTCAGCTCCTTAACATGCCTGTGTGTCCAGCCTTGCTGTCATCAAGGCCAGCAAGCCGATGTGTCTCTTGCCCAAAATGAGATTTTTGTACTTCAGAAACTGGAGTCTGAGGCCTTTCCAAGTCAGTAGAGAGCCCTTGAAAAGAGGCCATCTCGCTCGAGTGAAATCTGTCTTGGTGCTCATGGTGACCTCTTGCAGATGGCCCCACGGAGGGGCTTCCTGCAGGAATGTGTCCTCAGCTCTGTGCTGCCCTTGATGGTGGGGGGGAGGCATGAAAAGAAAGGTGGAGGCCTTGGGTGGCTAGTCCACGCTCCTGCCTGGCAGTGTGGAATGAAAGAGAAAAGGTTTGTAAGAAGCAAACCTCTTGGCAATTCCTGAAAGTCCTGCTCAAATCAAGCCAGTGTTTTTTGTGGGTATGAGAACAGGGAAAAAGAGACACCCCAGAGTGGGAGGGGAGCTTGTGTTTTTTTCCTGTGAACATGAGGTGCACCACTGGAGTGTCGGGAGAGACAGGACAGGAACCACAGTGGCCCTGCGATAGAATGTAGACGTTGGGAGTGAAGTTGGGGAGAAAGGCTGCTGGGAACAGCAGGACTGGGGGAAATCAGAACCTGCCTGTCACCTCAGGGCATCACCAAACAAACATTTTGTGCTGGGACTTCTTGCACAAGAGCCCAAGCTGGGGAGGTGAATTAACCGGGACAAGCCCTTATGCCCCAGGGTAATCAACACTGTTCTCTCTGCACTGTGAGCTCCTCCAGGAGAAAATTATTTAAGTATAATGTATCGTTGCTTTGTGCCAATTGTCCTAGCGTATTATTTTTGTTATTTTTGTTGCTGTTATTTATTGTAATTTCAGTTTGCCTCTGCTGGAGAATCTCAGCGGGAGTTGCAGCCTGACTGTCTCCCTCCCTCCACCAGACTCTACCTCTTACCCTGCTGGGAACCTCTGAGCACCTGTCAGGAACTCCTTGCTGTTTAAATATTTATTTATTGTTGACCAATGGAGCTGGTTTCCGAGATATGAATGATGTACACAATCCCCATTTTCCTGTTTCAGCATGTTGTATTCTTGTAAAATAAAAACAAAACTCAAATATGACATCTGTCTCCAAGGGCTGTGTGGTCAGGGGGAAAACGGGAAAGGGAAGTAAGTGGCAAGGCCTGTGGCTCTGGGAATCCCACAGGACGGGCGGGAGTTTCCATGGCATGGGCAGTGGCACAAGTGGAAGACCGGTGTTCACCTGGGAACTGGGAGAATCGGAGAGGGGACGTAGGTTCCCACCGTGGCCACCTTGACTGGTGACTTCTTTTAGCTGATAACAGCCTGGCTTGAGTTGGCTGTTTTGTGCGGATTGGACTGGGCCCAGTCTGCCGTCACTTCAAAGCCCATATCCTCTGTCTACCCGACTGGAACTCGGCACAAGCCATTCCCGATGCTGCCTGTGACAGTGAAAGGGTCGGTATGTCTTGGTCAAGTAGCCAGATGTTATCAGTTAGACGGCGACTTTTGTAACATCTGGAGCACATATTCAAGGCAATCCTAAAATTTGGCCCAAATAAAACTTTTTTTTTTTGGTCTCAGTTCTTTTTTTAGGTTTACAGTGCTTAGCAAATGGCTGAGTTAATGATTAATTTAAAATCCAGCAGGAGAACTGTTAGATTACGATTCCAACCTCCTACCGGACTTCTCTCCCTGCGTGTTCCACAGGCTCTTCATATGGAACGCGTTCAAAGCCAAGGTCATCATCGCCCCCCTCAGACGTCCTCTGCCTTCTGTTTCCCTGACCCTGATACTCAGAGGCAGTGGCCACCCAGTGTCAGGCTTCTCCATAGCTCTTCCTCGTCACATCTGCTCCCCATCAAAGCCAAATGGGCTGAGTCCAGCTTCTTCCCAGCCTCACCGGGCCTTCTTAGAGGACTCTCTCGTCCTTTCCAATCTGGGCTATAACTATTCCCCACCTCGTCTCCCTATCCCAGCCTCTCCCTTCTCTAGTTTTTTTTCCATGCTGCCCCAGTCCTCATCCATAAAGCACAGATCTGAGCACTTCATGGCTACACTAAAACCCTTCAATGGTTCAGCTTTAACCATGAGATGGAGTCCAGCTCTTACCATGACATGCAAGGCTCTCTGATCTGACCTAAGTCCCCAGATGGCCTTTACCCACAAATTTTTTCCTTCCCATTGTTTGTGGGTCCCTGCACGCACTGTTCTCTCTGCTTGGAATACCCTTTACTTCCTCTTTGTTTTTTAAAAGAAATTGAGGGTTGGGGGGTGAGGAGGAAAATGACAATTTTCAAAATCCAAAAAAAAAAAAAAAAAAAAACCTCCTCCTGGACCGCCCCGTACAGAGGTAATTGCTCCGGCTTCTGTGATTCTAAGACACTGTTTTTACCTCGATTGCAGCATGTGTGGCATCGACCATAACTAATCTCGTCACAGCTCTTCCTCTTCCATTAAACTGAGCTCTTTAAGGTCAGGAACCATATTATTCATCTTGACAAGATGGGGCAGAACGGAGCACAGCAAAGTGGTTCACAGCCCTAGCTGTGGAATCGGAATGTTGGGGTTGGAATCCTGGGTCATTCACCTTGTGAAGTTATTTAAGCCTAAGGTTCAATCCCCCCATCTCTAAAACGAGGATAATGAGAGTACCCCTGACAGGGAACACTGAATGAAATAAAAGCATTTGACACAATGTTGATGTCCCATAAATATTAGCTATTATTATTATTATTTGATTCCAGCACTTAGCACAGTGCCTTTTACATCATAGGCATTAGTCAAGAACTACTTATTGGCTTTTTGGATAAGATGGCGGAACCAAGATTCGCACCCAGGATTCCAAATCTACTTTTCCTTCAAGGACAGTACAGCTGTTTCAATACCATATTTCATCTGATGCTCAAATCATTCCAGAATTTCAGATGAGGAAGTTGTAGATTGGAGGTATTAAGCCAACCACTGTATTGCAGGGACTGCAGGAGTCACACGAACCCGCCAGCTAGGGCTGCTTTCCTGTGACCGCTTTAAGGCTGGCCTGTTTATCACTCTGCTGCCTCCCTGTGGCCATAGCAGGCCATGCAAGCTTGTTCTTCGGCATCACTTGGCTTCCATCACATATAAAGTTTGGCTTCTTCATTTGGAATTATATCCAATAGCTATCATTTGTTTCACTGTAGTTTTGTTTATTAATACATTTTCACAAACATTTAAAATTTTAATATCAATGAGCATTATTAACCTAGCTACCAAGACAGCCCAGTAGGTATAGGAGTTAAACCAATATTTCTTTAGTCAAAAGGGCTGAAATGACCTTTAAAAATTGAAGTTCTGGGCCGGCCAGGTGGCGCACTGCTACAGTGCGCCGCTTGGGAGCGCGGCGGCGCTCCCATTCGGATCCCACATACAGACCGGTTCCCGCTCACTGGCTGAGCGAGGTGTGGGAGCAACACCGAGGGTTGCGATCCCGTTGCCGGTCCCAGTCTGGTACGGCCGTGACACTGAGGGTTGCGATGCGTTGCCGGACACAAAAAAAGACAAGAAGGAAGCGAGGGTTGCGATCCCGTTGCCGGTCCCGGTCTGGTACGGCCGTGACACTGAGGGTTGCGATGCGTTGCCGGACACAAAAAAAGACAAGAAGGAAAAAAAAAAAAAATTGAAGTTCTTAGGTAAAGAGAAAAGGATGCCAGAGCTTGTTAAGTGCTGAACTCAAGGTAATCCACTGTCACTGAATCCTTTAAATTGGTTCAGTTATTCAAAGTGCTTTAGGGAAGAAAAGAAAGATTTAAAATTTAAGTAGCTGAAGTATGATCCCGAAGGTAAGAGACGCAAGATAAGTGCTAGATAGTGGAGTCTGAGTCTCCATCATTTAGAGAAGGTATCTCTTGACTTACAGTGTTGGTGTTTTCTAAGCTTTGATCACTAACCTGGATGATGATTTCTTTTAAACTTTAGGAAAAGCAACAATGTCTGGATTAATCTTTTATTTGTAATGGGTTCCCTCTTGAGGGATAGTTCTATGCCAAGAAGTATAATTGTCTTAGCTAATTCCATCTCACCAGTTCCAGGGGGCAGCTTCGCAGGGAGGGTGGTGTAATGATTTAGACAGTGGGCTTGGAACTTAGGCAACGAAATTTGGTCCCACATCCACTGCTTTTTAGCTGAGTAATCTTCGGCACATTACTCAATTTTTCAGAGCCTCACTTTTTTCTGTAAAATGTAAATAACAATAGTATCGGCTTCATAAGACTTTTGTGATAATAGAATAAGAATATTTATGAAAGATATTTATCGTAGTACTTCATAGTAAGTGCTCAAAAATGGCAGCTACTTGTATGAAACAGGCACTGTTCTCAATACTTCATGTGCACTAATTTCTGTAATCCTCACAATATTCCTGGGAGGAAGCAACTGTTATTACCAACCCCACTTTACAGATGTAGAAACCAAGGCCCAATTTCAAGTAAATTGCCCCAATTACTTAAAGTGAAAAAAAGTTTAAATAAATTGCTCTAATTCAAAGAGCTAGCAGATAGCTGTACCAGCTAGCTATTGCTGCATAACAAACCATTCTCATGTCACTGATGTGAGAACATCAGCATTGTATTTAATTCAATTTGATTCCATTGTTCTCTCATCAAGATCTAAAAAGAAGGGTTTTTGGTAAGTAAAGCGCAGTTCATTCCCAAGTTTAGAGTGAATCCCTGCAGTCTTAGGAGTCTTTCTGGTCAAAGGAAGTAAATGTTGAGGACACCGATCAATTCTAACATCATGGGTATGGGAAGGAGGGAGCCAGAGGGAAGGAGAGAGAAGTCCTTGCATTTCACCTTGCCCTTGGTTTCTCTCTGCATGTTTCCAGCCTGGGAGTCCCACCTCCTCCTGGGCCTGCTCTCTTCTGCTCTTAGTGATTAATTTTTCAGAGTCTGGATCCCTGAACCCAGCTCAGCAGCTGGGATCTCTGCAGTCAAATGCTCTACCCCTGAGCTATACCCCCCTCAGCTGGGATCTCTTTGTAGACAGACGGATCTCTCCTACCAGGGCAGTTGTCAGACTCTGCATATCTCTTGGGCCACCTCCTCCTTGATTCTCCTGGTTTAAGGTAGTCTGGGGGTAATCATGGTTTCCACCTCATGCTTGTTCACCAGACTGACCCTCCCCCATGTATACACATCCCCAGGAGGGGGTTAGCCAGTGCCAGGTGCCACTCCTCTTGTGCATGCTTGCGTGACACTCTCTTTGCCTTGGCCTTGACCCAGAGTTAAGTTTTCTGTTTAAACATGATAGTTATCCTCCTCCGTTATTTATCACTTCTCTTATTCTTGTGTTAACAGTTTGGGGTTTTAATTGGTAAAGGAGAATAAAAAATGTTTACATTGTGTAATGACAAAACAAAACAAAAAATAGATTCAGATACATTCAAACTTTAAAAAAAGGTTCTGGTCAAGATGGTGGAATAGATGGTCCCCAGCATCACTCTCTCCCACAAATCAACAAATTTACAACTATAAAAATGTAACAATACCCAACTGCAGCTGCTAGAGCTCAGGGGAAGAGGAGAGACCTATGGAGTTCATGAAGGCGGGAGAAGGCACCATGAGAGAAAGAAAAAACTGCTCTGAGCATTTTGTGCCGTGGCAGCTTTAAGGCTGGAGCTGCTGAGTGCATGGAGCAGGAGCCAGCAGAAGCCACAGCTGTGCCTTTCGGATGGAGGTGCTTGAAGGTGGCAGGGGGGAGGAGGGCCTTGGTGGCACCCAGGGCAGCAAGACCACTAAGAAGGTTCCTGTGGACCCACACAGGAGTGAGGAGCCAGAACAAGTGAAAAAAGAAGCCACTCAGAGGCTGGCGAGTCATCACAAGGGACCGGTGCACGGCCCATCCCATGGGAGGTGTTTGCAGCACAGGTGGTGATGGAGATGGGCCCACCAGGGGAACACTGGGGCACAGCAAGGACAGCTGATCTGCCTCCCAATCAGTGCAGGACCACTCAGAGGAGACTGGTAAGGAATATCAAACTGCAGAGGGAGCAGTTTGATGAAAAGACTCAGGCCCAGATCAGAGTTTCTATACAACCCAGGTGCATCAGGTCTCTGGAGAGCCAG